ACTGCTTTCAGTAACCTACCTCCTACACCATACACCTGCAACATCTGCCACATTGCCCCCCTATCCACCCTGTCATACGCCTTTTCCAAATCCATAAATGCCACAAAGACCTCTTTAGCTTTATCTAAATACTGTTCACTTATATGTTTCACTGTAAACACCTGGTCCACACACCCCCTACCTTTCCTAAAGCCTCCTTGTTCATCTGTTATCCTATTCTCCGTCTTACTCTTAATTCTTTCAATAATAACTCTACCATACACTTTACCAGGTATACTCAGCAGACTTATCCCCCTATAATTTTTGCACTCTCTTTTATCCCCTTTGCCTTTATACAAAGGAACTATGCATGCTCTCTGCCAATCCCTAGGTACCCTTACCCTCTTCCATACATTTATTAAATAATTGCACCAACCACTCCAAAACTATATCCCCACCTGCTTTTAACATTTCTATCTTTATCCCATCAATCCCGGCTGCCTTACCCCCTTTCATTTTACCTACTGCCTCACGAACTTCCCCCACACTCACAACTGGCTCTTCCTCACTCCTACAAGATGTTATTCCTCATTGTCCTATACACGAAATCACAGCTTCCCTATCTTCATCAACATTTAACAATTCCTCAAAATATTCCCTCCATCTTCCCAATACCTCTAACTCTCCATTTAATAACTCTCCTCTCCTATTTTTAACTGACAAATCCATTTGTTCTCTAGGTTTTCTTAACTTGTTAATCTCACTCCAAAACTTTTTCTTATTTTCAACAAAATTTGTTGATAACATCTCACCAAGAAGGCAGAAGCAATGTATAATATTCCAATAACAATAGGATTTTTTTTCAATGGAATGGACTAATCGTTTTCCCTATATTTCTTATGGGAAAATTCGTTTGGTATACATCCTGTTTGGTACAAGTCCAAGGTCCTGGAATGGATTAAGGATGTATACCGAGGTACTACTGTATTTAATTATGGCTACCTGTTTTTAGCTTCAGAAACAGAACTATGATTGTTATCTCCTGTCTCCAGTGATTAACCCGTCTTTCCTTTTTTCCATAATGTATAGTGCTTACTCCTCTATGTCTTCCATTACATTATTCTGTCATTGTAATTAAAAATATTGTAATATGTGTGTGATGCTACTTTTTCCTCAGTTTAGATCAGTGGTCTGTTGTACTTCACGTTTGGCAAAAAATGTTAGTTATGTATTTGTCTCCTTTTATAGCTCGATATGTGGTTATCATCTTTACGCATCGGCGATTTTGCCCACTTTGAGCCCTATTTTCGGCCAATTCCAGTGTATTAGTCGACAAAAATCATAACTATTTCACTAGAACTCCGTTTTTTCTATCAAATGAGTACAAGAAACCACCCATTTACCGATTTCAACTATCCAATAAAGGGGTCAGAATTTAGCAATTTTGCCAATTTCACACAAATTTCAAAAGATGCCAATTTCCAAATAGGGTCCAGAATAAACAAGAAGGACATTCCTGGCACTAAAATAACATTTCCTCTGTTCATTAGTCACATCCCCAGGCCCCTCTTACATTTCTTTTGCTTTCCACCTTGATTTTTTTATTCTCACAAAATTAATAAGATTTACTGTTATGCAGACAACTGCATTAGTGTAGAAATGGTATAAATAAGATCAGCGCACTTGTGAAAGAATATTAGACTCACCAGTTGATGCGTATTGGACGCTTGGCATGATTTGTTTACTTTTGAACTTTGGTAAAAATCGAACATTTCTGTTACTTTTTGGTCAATTTCAAGGACTTTTCATTAAAAAAACCCAGTCAAAATCACTAAATTTCTGTAATATGTCCCCATTCTATAAAATAACCCAGGAAACTAGAATAAAAAGTCGCTTTTTTTAAACCAAAAACACTAAAAGTTTTTTTTCTCATTATGCACTGTGTGCGCGGGATTTTTTTTTTACTGCCACACTGACCACATAGCCCCATTCTTTTCATATGTACCCTAGCGCTTTCTCTTGCTGATTTGGGGCGTAAAAAAATTTATGCGTATAGTCAACGTAAAAAAAACCCCTGGCGCGTAAGTGTACAAAACGGCCAAAAAACCCCCGAAAGGGTTAATAGGCAGTATGTTTCCTTTTCTATTATACAGTTGTGAAGGTTTATACATAGCGAATTGATTTATATACCAAGTAATGCAATGTGAAAGTGCAGTTGGGCCCCTTTAACAATGCAGGGGTTTTGGGGATCCCAAAAAACTCCTGTGCAGTCGAAAATCCATGTGTATAACTTTTTTTTTCCCCAAAAAATTAAAAAATACCTAGTGTTGACGGGAAAACCTTACTAATAACATAAACAGTAAATTTAACACACTTTTTGTATTTTATATTTTATAACTGTTTTTTTACAAAAAAGTAAACTAGAGAAAAGAAAATGTTATTGAAAAAAAATCACGGGGAAAGAGAAAACTTTTACATACTTTTTATTTATCGACACTAAGTTTACGTCGTCTATTTCAAAATGAATCATCTTCTGCAGTATCTAAATAGTATTGTCTTATTGATACAAAATATGAAATATTTACTAACACCGACTAAAAAATGAAAAGATTGTAAATAAGAAATTCTATATTTACAGGTATAAACAATTCATGCATTGAGAAACTTTTGTTTACTTTCTTCGATAAAAATGGTGCCATGTATGTCTGTAGGTGTTGTGTGCAAAAGTTTTGAAAAATTTTAACTTTTTGATGAATTTTTTTGGTTTTTTTGGGTAGTAAATGAAAGAGTAGTATTACATTTTTTTTTGCGTATGACATCCCAAATTTAATTTTTTTTCATATTTCTAGGCTATGCATTTGTCTGTGAGTTTTTTAAAATTTTTGCAACTCCCAAAATTTATTTTTTCAAATATTTAGTAAAAAAACCCTGTATAAGGGGCCCCACACAGTAAAACCCCGTGTTGTTAAAGGGGAAAAACTGTATTTAATTGTTTTAATTTCTTAGTTCAGCATGTCAGGAAAACTGAAGATTTAAGAGTTGCTAGAATGTTTTCTAAAGTTTTTTAAACCTTGAATCAGGGGAACCCACAAAATTTAATACTTTTAAAATACAGCCTCTCCTCACTTAACGATGGAGTTCCGTTCCAGAAAAAGTCATTAAAGAATTCGTCGCTAATTTTGGGGAAAACTATAATGGTGTGAGTTTTTGTAACCATCTTTGATTTTTTTAAGTCACCTCTGCACCATTTAAACATTTTGGTATACAGGGAACCCCGGATTTTGCCGTAATCCCTTCCCGAAGGGTGGTCTAAAACTGAAAAAAGCCCAAAACTGAGGGAATATTTTCCTTTAAAAATTAATATAAATAAATTAATCCGTTCCAGAACCCAAAAATATTAAAAAAATTTTTTTTTTTAAAAACCTTTTTAGGGTTTTGGTCGTATAGTACGTTTTTCGCGTGGGGTTTTTTTACGTACTAGTACTCATAAATTTTAGCGGCCTCAAATCTAGTGGGAGAAAGCTGGTAGGCCTTCATGTGAAAGAATGGGTCTATGTGGTCAGTGTGCACAGTCTAAAAAAAATTCCTGCAGCACACAGTGCATAATGAGAAAAAAAAAAAACTTTGACCATTTTTTTTAATAAATCAGCGACTTTGCAGTGTATTTTCGTATGGTATTTATTGTTGTTTTTCTAGTTTTCTTGGTCTCATTTTATAGAATGGAAGACATATTGCAGAAATTGAGATGATTTTGACTGGTTTTACAAATGAAAGGTGCCTTGAAATTGAGCTCAAAGTAGCAGAAATGTTCGATTTTTACCAAACTTCAAAAGTAAACAAATCGTGCCATGCGTGCAATACACGTCAACTGGTGAGTCTAATATTCTTTTACAAGTACACCAATAATATTTATACCATTTTTTTACACTAATGCAGTAGTCTGCATAACAGTAAATCTTATATTTTTTGTGAGAATAAAAATTCAAAGTGGAAAGCAAAAGGATATAAGAGGGCCCTTGAGACGTGACTAATGACTAGAGGAAATGTCATTTTAGTGCCAGGAATGTCTTTCTTGTTTATTCTGGACCCTATTCGGAAATTGGCATCTTTTGAAATTTGTGTGAAATTGGCAAAATTGCTAAATTCTGACCACTGTACTGGATAGTTGAATTTATAAATGGGTGGTTTCTTGCCCCATTCGATAGAAAAATGGAGTTCTAGCGAAATATTCATGTTTTTTGTCGACTAGTACAGTGAAATTGGCCGAAAATGGGGCTCAAAGTGGGCAAAATCGCCGATGCGTAAATATCGCCGAGACCGCTAACTTTGCGAGAGCATAATTCCGTAAGTTTTCTATCAAATTTCAAACTTTTGGTGTCTTTATGATCGGGAAAAGATTCTCTATCTTTTCATAAGAGAAAATAATTTTTTTTTTTTTAAATTTGGCCGACCCTGAGAACGAGTTTCGGAGAGGGCCTGTCGACCCTCAAAGGGTTAAAGATTAACTATAGTTTTACATACACAAAACAATGAGAAATAAATATAAAGCACAAATTTTAATGATAAATGAGCATTTCATACCCTTATTGAAGACTTGTTGGTGTATTGAAGAAAGTGAGGAGGGGAAAGTGAGTTGGGGTTATTGTTTGGAAGGGGAATCCCTCTCCATAAGGACTTCAGGTATCAAGTCCCTATCTGGGGTTACTTCCCTTCTTTGCCTTTTACTGGCACTAGGACCAGCTTAAGAGTCACTGCACCCCCATCACACAATAAAACTGTCCAGAGAGGTCTGTTTCTGGCGTCTCTTTAAGATTTGCCTGAAGTGGGACAAGGTTTTGTCACTGAATGTGTTGCAGATATGGCTTGTTTCTGCTTGGTCAGGGTGATATTTCTCCACAAAACTTTGCAACTCACTCCACTTTGCACATATGTCCTTAATCACTGAAGAAGACACATTCTCCCCTCTCTTCTTCTTCTTCCTCTGAAGCAATTTCCTCAGCTGTGGTCTGTTGTTGTTGCAGATGAAGGTGTTGCAGCTCTTAAGTGGTTAGCTCTTCCCTGTGGTCCTCCACCAACTCTTCCACATCCTTGCCAGTCACCTCTAACCCTATGGACTTCCCCAAAGGCACAATAGATTCCACAACAGGCAGAGGGTCGACAAGGTCAGGGTCAGCCACAGACCCTTCAAAATCCTTGTCGAGGACACATTCTGGCCACAGTTTTCTCCAAGCAGAGTTCAAAGTCCTGGAAGTCACTCCCTGCCAAGCCTTACCTATAAGGCTTATGCAATGAAGGATATTGAAATGATTCCTCCAGAACTCTCTTAGGGTCACGTCAGTGTCCGAGATCACTTCAAAGCACCTTTGGAACGTTGCTTTTGTGTAGTTTTTTGAAGTTAGAAATGACCTGCTGGTCAATGGGCTGGATGAGAGGAGTAGTGTTAGGAGGCAAGAACTTCACTGTTATAAAACTTAACTCCATAGACAACTAATCTACCAAGTTTAGAGGACGAGCAGGAGCATTGTCCAGTACCAGGAGGCACTTGAGTGGCAATTTATTTTCCTAGAGGTATTTTTTCACACTCGGGCCAAACACTTCATGGACCCAGTCAATGAAAATTTGCCTTGTGACCCATGACTTATTATTAGCTTTCCACAACACACACAATTTACTCTTGATGACATTGTTTTTCTTGAACACTCTGGGATTTTCAGAGTGATACACCAGTAAAGGCTTTACTTTGAAATCCCCACTAGCATTACCACAGAACAAAAGAGTATGCCTATCCTTCTTAGGCTTGTGTCCTGGCAGTACCTTTTCTTCTTGCATGATGTAGGCCCTCTTTTGCATTTTTTTCCAAGAGAGGCCTGTTTCATCACAATTGAACGCTTATTGGGGTACGAATCCTTCAGCCTCTATGTACTCCTTGAATTCCTGCACGAATTCTTCAGCCGCGCATTTGTTTTAATTTTGCACCCCTCACCATCCCTTTTCAACACTGGGGTATTTGACACACTTTTTTTTTTCGTCAACCCAGCCTTTGCTGTCTTTAAATTCACAAAACGCAGCACTCATTCCAGGTTTTTTTATTCATGAGATGGGAATGCAGCCCCTTTCCCTTGTCACAAAATGTTTAAATCAACAACACTATTTTTTTTTTTTTATTATCCCCACGGCCAAATTCCCCACCAAGGCGGGTCCCCCGAAAAAAAAAAAACTTTCACCATCATTCACTCCACCCAAGTTTTGGCCAGAAGGGTGGCTTTACACTCTTTTTTAAACTGCAACATTAACACCCCCCCCCTTTCAGAGGGGCAGGCATTTTTTTTTTATTTTTTTTTCCCATCTCCGGGACCCCAAGCCCGGCCCTCCCTTTTCCCTAAAACCCCCTTTCCCAAAAATGTTACTTTGCTCCCCACTCCAACAGCAGGGCAAGTTTTAAAAAACCTTTTTTGTCCCCATTCACCCCTACCCAAACACCTCACGCATGCCTGGGGAAGCCCAAGCCTCTGCAAAAAAAAACCCCCTTTTTCCCCCCTCCCCCCAACCCCTTTCCTAGGCAAACCCCCCCCCGCCCCCTTTCCCCTACAGACTGAAAACACCGGGAAGTTTAAACCCTGTTTCGCTCCTTTTCTCTTTTTAAGTCCAAAACCCCCCTTCAACAACCCTTCCTCACCCCTCTGGCAACAGTTTTGGTAATCCCGCCCCTCCCCCTAATTTTCCCCAAATACGAATTCTCTGCATTATTTCAAAACCACACATTCCCCTAAAGACATAACTTTCCCCACTGCCCCAACCCTTTCTCCTCGCGAACATTCATCACCCACGCTTCACACCAATAAGAGCTTTTTTTTAAAACTATACTCTCAAAATTTCCCCTCTTTGCCTCCGGGGAAAAAAGTTCTTTGTCTCCACAGACTCCAAAGGGGCACCACTCACTTTTTTTCCCTCATCAATTCTATGATTCCCTACCCTTTCATAGCCCCAAACCCCTGCACGCCCAAACCCCCCAAATATCTTTTTTACGTTCACCTCCTCCATACTCTCTCCCTCCCAAACTATATTCAATCTTTCAAACACCCAATCTTTTTTTTATCCTCATTTAAACCCACCGTTTCCCGTAAACAACCCTTTAAATTTTTTTTTTTTGCACACCCTACCAAATTCTCCCCCAAATTTTGCAACTTCTCTTCCCGAATTTTCCCCAAAAGCCCAGGTCATCAGCAAAGGGGCGCGTGACAACTCCCCCTTTGTGTGTTTATTTTTTATCTTTTAAAATCCCCGCCTCTTGCCCGGGCCCTCCCCATTTTTTTCTCTTACAAACCCCCCCCTATAAATATATTTTTAAAAAAACCACGGGGGACATCCCACATCCCGTCTAAAGGGCCACCCTTTTTTTGGGGAAAAAAATTTTCCCCCTTTCCTCATACTCTAAATTGGCCTCACTATTCGTAAAAAAATCTTTACTGCTTTCAGTAACCACCTCCTTTCACCAAAACACTTGCAAAATCTGCCACATTGCCCCCCCATTTCCCCCCGTCATACGCCTTCTCCAAATCCCTAAAAAGCCCCCAAAGACCCTTTAGCCTTTCTAAATTTCTGTTCCTTATATGTTTTTTAAAATGTTAAAAAACCTTTGGGCCAAAAAAACACCCCCACCTTTTTCCCCCCAAAAACCTCCTTGTTCATTGCTTTCCCATTCTCTGTCTTTCTCTTTAAATTTTTTCAATTATAAAATCTACCATAACTTTACCAGGTACACTCCCAGACTTTTCCCCCCATCCACACTATTCCCCTAAAAGTTTAAATTTTTGATCCCCGCCAAAAATAACTTTCCCCCCATCTTCAAATTTTTGGGGACCTTTGTTTCATTGCATATTTAAACCCCCTTTTTTCAAATTAAAACTTCCTTGATTTCTACATTCTTTTTCCAGGATGGGGAAATGATTTTGATTTGGATTTGCCATAAATCCTGGCAAGTTTGGGGCACACTACACCAATCTCGTGCTTTCTATAATTTCTTTCTTAATTTTATCGTGTTTTTTCACTTTCTTTACCAATTTTTTGGGGTGGGACTAGAAAATTTTCTTTGGGCCCCCGGTAAGGGTTATTTCACAGTTCCTCAAAAAACAATGGATTAAAAAACGAAATGTTTTTGGGTGAATGCGTGAGTGTTGCTCACCACCCAGAGACACGCCCAAATGGGTTTTACTAACAGCGGGGTTTGGGAGGGCCCAAAAACCAGGGGTTTGAATTTTGGGCCAAAAAAAACCCGCCCAAATCCTTTTGGGCCAAATTTTTGCACCAGGGAAAACCCGGGGCCCCCTGTATTTTTAAATTGGGTTTTTCAGTAGTGTACGATTTGAAAAAAAAAGAAAAGAGGGGAAATTTAAATCTAATATGCATTTTTTTGGGAGGGAAAATGGTCAGAAGCTCGTTGGGAAGTCCGAGGGGTTGGGAAACGAGTATTTCGCTAAATGAGAAGGGCTTTTATGTATTAAATAAAAGTAAATAAAATTTGTCCCTTTTTTCAGCATACTGGATGGTGATAGCTCTTCTCCATGGCCCTTTATTATTGTTGCTATTTGGGGAGTGAAGTTCAATCTTAAGGGTGTTTTTTGCATTTTTCCCCAGGTATTGTTTTTCAAAACCCAAAAGGTAATATTTTTTAAAAATGTCTAGAAAAATCTCATTATAAAAATGTATCTGTCTTTTTGAAACCTTTATTATTGCTTTCTGTATCTATTTATTTTTCTTTAATTTATGTACTAAATAAAATTTCTGTTTTTCAGCTTGTATAAACCTTTGATAAAAATTCGGCCCTTTTACTCTGTGAAAAAATTTTTTTCTGTGCTGCGGGCCCTTTTTATAATAAAAATTTTAAAAATAATAATTTAAAAATTTAAACTTTATTTTTACCAAATTTCAGGGTCAACCCTTTCACAGGGGCCCTAGCTGACATCAGGGGATATACTATATAAAAAGCCCATGGTTTTGCACAACATTTCGGGCAACTTCGGTTGATTTTGTCCCCAGGATGTGATGCCAAATGTTTCCATCCATACCAAGGATCAAACCATGCCATGCATGCTTGCCTTTGTGTCAAATTATTCTCTTATGTTATGAGCCGGCAAACAGACTCAAAATAGATAAATATACACATACTTGTCTACAGATATGAAAAAGACAGTTTTAATTAATGATAAGTTATTGTTATAAAATGTAGCAACCTGACTGTGATAGAAGAAGAAAGATACATAAATATAATTTCATCAGTAAAGAACACATAGGATGTACTTGACTTGGAGAATATACGAGAAAGATGGGAACAGATTCCCCTTAAGATTAACATATTCAAAATTGCTAAATAAAGATACGCAAACAAACAGAAGTCAGATTAACATATTTAGCTCATTCATAAAGAAGAATTACTTAATAAAGACTAGGAAACATGAAGACTGTAAGTCACATTTCTCTGTAATTAAGCTTATAAACTGTCACCCTTCTTGATGATGAACAATTTCCTTTCCATGACAAGTGAAAACACCTAGAGAGAGTTAGGAATTATTTTCTTGCATCGAGAATCAGGTAGCTATTTTTTTTTTTTAAACACGTTGGCCATCTCCCATTGAGGCAGGGTGGCCCAATTAATCATACTATCACTGTCTTGCCAGAGGCACCCAGATACCAGGAGCCAGGAAGCAGGTTTCTTGATCTTAGTATGGAGACACAGGAAACAATGCTGACACATGAAGATTGACACAGTTTGCAGAGCGTGGAATTTTTATTGAGATGCTTTGCATGTGCAACAGGCACATGGCAAGAAAAGTTCCTCTATGCAAATTGTGTTAATCTTTTCCTCCCAGTGTGTGGAACCAGAGCTTTTCTGTCCTTCCTTGAGCCAAACCTAAACACCTTACATTCCCCAGGTGCTTTATTATGCCCAGTGAGTGGATTACCTCCCCATGAACATTATAAATAAGTCACCAAAAAGTGGTACTTAGAAGAGGACCTCATGACTGGTCCAGGACAGACCTGAACGTCTCTGTAATATTGGTCTCTTTCGTGCTGGTTTTTGGTGAATTGATGAATAAGACGCATGTGCAACAGTTGGGTGTCTTTGTGGTCGAAATATTTCACCTTCAGTCAGATACAGATTGTAGGCAGTAGAAGTGACTAGGTAAAGATGATGTAATTAATCCATCAACCTTGCAGAAATAGTTTGAGGTGGTCAGTCCCTCAGCCTGGAGAAGAGTTCAGCTGCATGAAGCTTCATGCATGGAGCTTCAGGCATGGAGCTTCAGGCAGCTGAACTCTTCTCCAGGCTAAGGGGCTGACCACCTCAAACAATTTCTACAAGGTTATGGACTGATTATGTCATCTTTACCTAGTTACTTCTACTGCCTACAATCCATTCTCTATATCTGACTGAAGAAGCCTACTACATAGGTAAAACATTTCAACCGTAAACTGTTGCACATATATCTTACTCACCAACTTGTTGTCAGCATTTTATACCTCTTTCAACACACATTTTGGTGACTTGTTCCAGCCACATTATTGTGACTTTTGTGTTCTTGAAATAATAAATAGGTGTTTCCAGGGTTGAGCTTTTGTTTGGTGTTGACAATAATAAGCAGCACTTTATTGTAGTTAGAGGTTATTATTGTTACAAAATTTGTTGAGGTCTCCCAGTGTGGCTTGCTGTAACTGTTCTTTCGGGTTATTGCGCATCATGTTTGTTTTCTTAGAGTTCGTCGAATCTGAGAGAACCATACGGGTTTATCACTTTCTGTGTATGTAATGGAGGATAATTACTGAGGGTTATTTAATGCCAAAAGATTTTCATTATTAGATAAATGTAAATAGCCAGCTAGTCGTAATAATATCATTAGGATTGCAAAATGTAATGTGTGTGATAACACAAGTGTCAGGTAACATAGACACAACACAGCATAAAATTTT